AACATACATGTCCTAGGAAAGCAAAAAGTAGTGACAACTAGATCCTAGAATGTTGGAGGCACTAGCCTCAGTCTGGTAACAACTGACTAGCGTAGAAGTCCTAAGAACAGCAAAAGCAGTACAACTAAATCCTAGAAACGTCGGAGGTAGTAGCCTCAGTCTGAGAGTAACAAAGCATTCAACAAGACAACCATATGTCACATGAGAAGTGTGTCGCACACCAAAGGGTGGGATGGTCTCTGAGGGTGGCGAATGCAGCCTAGGGGTCGAAAAGTCCTAAGGGCATCCACACATAGTGACAGGGGAAAACACATGTCATCAGGCTCAATGAGAGTAGGGAACTGGGAGCGAACAGAACCAATGACCCTAACAGATAGACCATCAGGGCGGGTAATGCTCGACTAAGGGGTGACCGCTATGGAGGGTCGACCATGCAAGGGAACAAGGGAGCCTGGTATACTGGGCGCACCTAGATGAAGCATGCGGGGCTCCCTAACTAGGGCGTGAGGGCCGACGAAGGGTAGAAAGATGATGGATGGGTAAGGGAATCATGCAAATGACTCCTATAGTAAGGGAAGTCGGAGCTAGATCCGTAAGATGGGAAGCCAGGGCAACGCTACGGTCCCGATGCCTATGCGTATACCAAGGGAGAGCCCAACTCAGAGGAACCCGGCTAAAGGGAGACCATCATGCGACACAAGCAGGGTACTGTACAGGGTAGAGTGGTAAGAGAGTGGCGACGTCTGAAGTAGGCAGAGCTGATCGTGATGAAGTCCATGAAGCCTCCGATGACGTCCACGATGAGAAGTCCGGAATGCCGTCGAGGAAGAGCCGCAGCGTCGACGAGCTGAAGTAGCAAAACAAATGTGGATGGAGTACAGAGAAGTCAAAGACATGGGAAGGTAAGTCAGAGTCAATCGTCGTATCGAGCAGGACGACGACGAGTGCGCTGTGGACGCTCAGAGGCATCCGGCTGCTGCTGAAGGTCTGCCTCAGATGGAGCAGGCTCGACTTCAGTGGTCTCCTCAGCCGGAGGAGAAGGAGGAGGGTCCACTGGCTGAGGAGGAGCAGTGAATCCAGCACGACGAGCACGGTCATAGGCACGCACCAACATGCGAGCGTGCTGCAAGTGCTCGAGGGGCTCCCAGGTAGCCTCTCATCAGGGTAACCCTTCCAACGTACGAGATACTCGACGTGGGGAGGGTTGTCGTCGGTGACTCGGCGACCAATGATGTCTGAAACGAGGAACTCCTCGTGGCCGTCCACCATGATGGGTGGAGGGCGCTCGTATGGTCGTCCAGCGAAACGCTCAGACGGTCTGCGGTAAGGACGCAGTAACGAGACGTGGTAGACATCATGCACACGAGCCTGGCGTAGGAAGTYGGGCAGCTTCACACGAAAGCTGACCGGGCGAGATGCCGTATCAGAACCGACGGCCTGGAGGATGCGGCATGGGCCGAAGAAGCGACGCCGAAACTTGTGAAGCGTGTCCGCTTCGAGCTGTAAGTGGCGGGCGTCGATAAGCACATCATCACCGACCTTGAATGGGTGATCCATCCTCGATCGGTTCGCACGTGCTGCCATGCGAGTCTGGGAAGCGGCTATGTGCTCATGTGCGGTC